TAGGCTCATCCTGTGAGTGTTTGATAGCTAGGCTCATCCTGTGAGTGTTTGATAGCTAGGCTCATCCTGTGAGTGTTTGATAGCTAGGCTCATCCTGTGAGTGATGAGAGTTGTTGGTGAGTACTCTGATGATCTTGTTTGCTCCTTCTTTCCTTTTAAACATCTTTCGTCCTTCTCTCTCCTCCTTCTTTCCTATCAAACATCTACCCTCCTTATCTCTCCTTCTTTCCTATCAAACATCAATCGTCCTTATATCTCCTCCTTTATGTATGTTACTCTCTAGGAACACCTCTAATCTTTGTGTGTTTCTCTAGGAACACCTCTAATCTTTGTGTGTTACTCTAGGAACACCTCTAATCTTTGTCTGTTACTCTCTAGGAACACCTCTAATCGTTGTGTGTTACTCTAGGAACACCTCTAATCTTTGTGTGTTACTCTAGGAACACCTCTAATCTTTGTGTGTTACTCTCTAGGAACACCTCTAATCTTTGTGTGTTACTCTCTAGGAACACCTCTAATCTTTTTATGTTACTCTAGGAACACCTCTAATCTTTGTTACTCTCTAGGAACACCTCTAATCTTTTTATGTTACTCTAGGAACACCTCTAATCTTTGTTACTCTCTAGGAACACCTTTAATCTTTGTGTGTTACTCTCTAGGAACACCTCTAATCTAACTCTAATCTGTGGCACTGACATGACCTATTTGTGTTAATAGGACTGTAAAACTTTTAATTTGTTGTGATGTGACACGTGTTATGTTGTGTTTTGACACGTGTTATGTTGTGATGTGATACGTGTTGTGTTGTGTTGTGACACGTGTTGTGTTGTATTGTGATGTGACACGTGTTGTGTTGTGCTTTGATGTGATACGTGTTGTGCTGTGATGTGACACGTGTTGTGGTGTGTTGTGACACATGTTGTGTTGTGCTGTGCTGTGACACGTGTTGTGCTGTGCTGTGACATGTGTTGTGATGTGATGTGACACGTGTTGTGCTTGTGGTGTGTTGTGACACATGTTGTGTTGTGCTGTGATGTGACACGTTTTGTGGTGTGTTGTGATGTGACACGTGTTGTGTTGTGATGTGACACGTGTTGTGTTGTGATGTGATGTGACACATGTTGTGCTGTGATGTGACACGTGTTGTGATGTGATGAGACACGTGTTGTGTTGTGATGTGATGTGACACATGTTGTGTTGTGATGTGATGTGACACATGTTGTGTTGTGATGTGATGTGACACATGTTGTGTTGTGATGTGATGTGACACATGTTGTGATGTGATGTGACACATGTTGTGTTGTGATGTGACTTGTGTTGTGTTGTGATGTGACACGTGTTGTGTTGTAATGTGACACGTGTTGTGTTGTGTTGTGATGTGACACGTGTTGTGTTGTGATGTGACACGTAGTGTGCTGTGTTGTGACACGTGTTGTGTTGTGTTGTGACACGTGTTGTGTTGTGTTGTGACACGTTTGTGCTGTGTTGTGACACGTGTTGTGTTGTGTTGTGACACGTGTTGTGTTGTGGCACATGTTGTGTTGTGTTGTGACACGTGTTGTGTTGTGACACGTGTTGTGTTGTATTGTGACACGTGTTGTGTTGTGACATGTGTTGTGCTGTGTTGTGACACGTGTTGTGATGTGACACGTGTTGTGCTGTGATGTGACTTGTGTTGTGATGTGACTTGTGTTGTGATGTGACACGTGATGTGACACGTGTTGTGCTGTGATGTGACACCTGTTGTGCTGTGTTGTGACACGTGTTGTGTTGTGATGTGACACGTGTTGTGCTATGTTGTGACACGTGTTGTGCTGTGATGTGACACGTGTTGTGTTGTGACGTGTTGTGATGTGACACATGTTGTGATGTGATGTGACACATGTTGTGGTGTGATGTGACACATGTTGTGCTGTGTTGTGACACGTGTTGTGTTGTGATGTGACACGTGTTGTGCTATGTTGTGACACGTGTTGTGCTGTGATGTGACACGTGTTGTGTTGTGCTGTGTTGTGACGTGTTGTGATGTGACACATGTTGTGATGTGATGTGACACATGTTGTGGTGTGATGTGACACATGTTGTGCTGTGTTGTGACACGTGTTGTGTTGTGCTGTGATGTGACACGTGTTGTGCTGTGATGTGACACGTGCTGTGATGTGACAGGTGTTGTGGTGTGTTGTGACACGTGTCGTGATGTGCCCCCAGGAGCAGCACCACCCAGGAGGAGCTCGGGGAGATGAGCCGAACCAACAACCCAGAGGAGATCGACATTGACGACGACGAGGACGGAACCGACGACGAACAGGAAGTGGAAGGTACGCACACAGATTGTCTCCCCTTGTCTGTTACCTCACACAGATTTCCCCTCGGGGCAGTGCCACTGACTGTAGTGTCTTTTGGCCATTCCTAAAGGGGGGACATATCTCGTTCAAGCATAGATCTAGTAGAATTGTAAATGGGCTGATTCATGTCACGCTCATAACTGTGCCTGATCTACAACAGGGAACTGCTGCTTTTTCTTTCCTACTCCTTACTATTGTCATTTTCCTCTACTTCTTTTGTATGTTTGTCACACTCTTGTGACCTGCTATTTCCAGGGTGCCTTGATAGTCGAAGCAGACCTTGTGCTGTTGAAGCCAGAGAGGTGAGCAGAGTAAGTCTGATTCCTGTAAAGATTTCTCTGTTGACACCCACCCCTTGGCGCTCACATGACCTTATGCAGTTGCGAGTGCAGTAAAACCCTCTACTATAAATAAAAAAAATAAATAAATAACACAGATTGTCTCCCCTTGTCTGTTACCTCACACAGATTGTCTCCCCTTGTCTGTGACCTCACACAGATTGTCTCCCCTTGTCTGTGACCTCACACAGATTGTCTGACCATGTGTTGTGTTTGTTCCAGAGGTGGAAGTCCAGCAACAAACAATCCCATCCCAGGTGTTTGGCAAGTTGGCAGCACAGAGAGGGGAGGAGGAGGAGGAGGATGAGGAAGACAGTTAAACTGTTGGCAGCCCAGAGAGAGAGAGATGTGGAGGAGAAGGAGG